CGTCTCGTCGCCCTCGTCACCTCCTGCCTCGCCGCCCGCGCTGCCTCCTGCGTCGCCGCCCGCGTCGCCTCCCGCCTCGCCGCCCTATTTGCCACCGGCCTCACCGCCCTCTTTACCTCCCGCCTCGCCGCCCTCCTCGTCGCCCTCGTCAGCTCCGACCTCCGCCCCCAGCGTCTCGTCGCCCTCGTCAGCTCCGACCTCCGCCCCCAGCGTCTCGTCGCCCTCGTCACCTCCCGCCTCGCCACCCTCGTCGCCGCCCGCCTCGCCGCCGTCTTTACCTCCCGCCTCGCCACCCTCGTCGCCGCCCGCCTCGCCGCCCTCGCCGCCGCCGCCGTCGCTGTCGCCCTCACCGCCCCCAATTCCCTCCACGCCGCCGCCAGCCCCGCCCCCTCCCACGCCGCCGCCTCCGGCACCGCCGCCGCCTGCCCCTCCGCCGCCCTCGTCAGCTCCGACCTCCGCCCCCAGCGTCTCGTCGCCCTCGTCAGCTCCGACCTCCGCCCCCAGCGTCTCGTCGCCCTCGTCAGCTCCGACCTCCGCCCCCAGCGTTTTCCCTGTTCTTCCCTCCTCGTCGCCCTCGTCAGCTCCGACCTCCGCCCCCAGCGTCTCGTCGCCCTCGTCACCTCCTGCCTCGCCGCCCGCGCTGCCTCCTGCGTCGCCGCCCGCGTCGCCTCCCGCCTCGCCGCCCGCGTCACCTCCCGTCTCGCCGCCCTCGTCACCTCCCGCCTCGCCGCCCGCGTCGCCGCCCGCCTCGCCGCCGTCGTTACCTCCCGCCTCGCCGCCCTCATCGCCTCCCGCGTCGCCGCCCGCGTCGCCGCCCGCCTCGCCGCCCGCGTCACCTCCCGTCTCGCCGCCCTCGTCACCTCCCGCCTCGCCACCCTCGTCGCCGCCCGCCTCGCCGCCGTCTTTACCTCCCGCCTCGCCACCCTCTTTGCCTCCCGCCTCGCCGCCCTCGCCGCCGCCGCCGTCGCTGTCGCCCTCACCGCCCCCAATTCCTCCGCCCTCCACGCCGCCGCCAGCCCCGCCCCCTCCCACGCCGCCGCCTCCGGCACCGCCGCCGCCTGCCCCTCCGCCGCCCTCGTCAGCTCCGACCTCCGCCCCCAGCGTCTCGTCGCCCTCGTCAGCTCCGACCTCCGCCCCCAGCGTCTCGTCGCCCTCGTCAGCTCCGACCTCCGCCCCCAGCGTTTTCCCTGTTCTTCCCTCCTCGTCGCCCTCGTCAGCTCCGACCTCCGCCCCCAGCGTCTCGTCGCCCTCGTCACCTCCTGCCTCGCCGCCCGCGCTGCCTCCTGCGTCGCCGCCCGCGTCGCCTCCCGCCTCGCCGCCCGCGTCACCTCCCGTCTCGCCGCCCTCGTCACCTCCCGCCTCGCCGCCCGCGTCGCCGCCCGCCTCGCCGCCGTCTTTACCTCCCGCCTCGCCGCCCTCATCGCCTCCCGCGTCGCCGCCCGCGTCGCCGCCCGCCTCGCCGCCCGCGTCACCTCCCGTCTCGCCGCCCTCGTCACCTCCCGCCTCGCCACCCTCGTCGCCGCCCGCCTCGCCGCCGTCTTTACCTCCCGCCTCGCCACCCT